CTTTGTAATCCTACGTCTTGGTCACGAACTCAGGTTTACTCGTATTTTAATTTGGTCTTTTAATTTTATTTATTTATGTTTTAGTCCTTACCATATTAATGTACATATTTTAGGTAAAATTATATATTTAGTCTTGAAATACCAATAAATTCTATTTTGATCTCGTATTATTAATTTAGGTTAAATTATATAATTAGTACATAGTTATAGCATTATTTCGAATTGGGTAAATTAATTTTAATATTTTTACTCTAGGATTATTATTATAATATATTAACATAATTTATATAGTTTTAATATTAAATATTATAATGGTATTAATAATATTGATATTAAATATTTAGTATTTATATTAAGTTATTTTAGAAAACAAATTATAAATTACTGCAAAGACACTAATTAATAAATACTGGTACCAATTTTGGGCGTTGTGGGAATGTTAATTCTTTCTCATACATAACCGACTCTCGAACTCATTTTTTTGGTAAGCAAACCCGAGTTGTATTATTTTAATATTATTCTTAGGAATTTTTATTAAAATAATATGACATTTTAGTGACCAATCTCACCATATAAAAAGATTGGTGGCGACTCTACAATTTGGTGTTTTATCTAATTCATGGAAGATAAACACTTACTCTTTTAGACTAGTTACACCGTCTGGGGTATACTATTTGCACTCTCCGTCTCCATGGTAGAGAAACGTCTCGACACTTGGTATTTATCAGGTAAGGGATCATGAAACTTTGGTAATTTAATAGGATTTCAGAATAAAGATACCTATAAAGGGGGTTTGATAGGTAACTAATTCATCATTCATTCGAAAAGTGGTTTATCAAGATCATACAATATTCATATATTTATCATATGCAATTAAGTATCAAGAAGGCATTCAGAATCTTTTACATCAGAATTATTGAAGATTTAGACATAACATGAGTGTTCCTATTATTCAGGCAAATCAGAGCATTTTAGACATTTGGTTCTTGGAGAATTATTAGTAATTTAATCCAATAAGGGAGTAACTATGATTCATGGTATTTAAGATTCATGTCAATTTATCAGGATATCGAGTTAACTCAAACTGAACAACTCCCAGCACTGATGCCTATCAACTGGTCAAATAGTTACACTTCAGGGTATTCACTTTTCAATGCATACAACTCTTGTCGAATTGATCATCTTCAGAATCATCATTGAATGGATATTTATTTCATTTCGGTATTGCAACGATATCAGGTAATGTCTACGTGCTTGATTCTTGGTTCAACACTCTTATGGACAATACAACATATAGGTTCATCAGCGTTTCCAGACTTATCTAAGCCATTCCATTAATACAAGGTCTTTGAGGGTACTTAGGCCATTTATTAGTTAAGTTTATCCCAGTCACTTCGGAGTTTCCAAAATAATTCGGTCATTTCACAAATTCGATTACATACAATATTTCCATTCAGTTCAACTTGATCATATAATATAATCATTTTGGTATTCGATGTTGATTTATTCACTTCAAAGCTGAGGTTATATAGTTATTCCAGAGCTTAAACGTACTTCAAATCATATTATACTTCAGGGGCATTCCAAATAAATCAGGAATTTACTCAGATTCCAATATTCAAGTGGATCATAATATAAGTTCTCAGGTCGTCTCTATTATCATAGTCATCCATAGTCCTTTTTACACTTTAAGGGTACTATCATCATTTCATTCAATTCGACCAGTGGAATTACTTCTGATAACTTAGGCTTGAAAGTATTATAGTTCCTTTAGAGTTTAGATTACTTTGTTCATTTGATCACTCGAGGTTATTTTCACCATTAGGGGAAGTCTTGGTCCTTTTGCAGTAAAAGGGCATTTTCGTAATTTTAGCCCATAGTGTTATTTTAGGAAATTTCTTATCCAAATATTCCCAAAATTTAACCTTTAATGAGATTAATCAGAAGTTACACGTTCTAAGATTGATTGATTTACTAATTAAATCATTGAACTAATATTTGTTTTAGATATGTCTACTAATTTCTTTTTCAAGCCGTCATGGTCTTATACAATGTTCTGTCTTTATTCCAATTTCTGTCTGAGTCCAATGATATTTAACTACACCTAATGGATCAATCATTTTCTTTCATGCATTTACCATTTATTAGTAGGTTCCAAAAATCATTCAAAAGGTAGTAGAGTATTACCTCAGTTTTTGTGCCAAAATGATCGACCATTTAAACTCCATTTGATCGTCCTCGAACTTGAATCCAACGTCCAATAATTACTCTGATACAAAGCACCACATTAACGTCAGAAACTTAACTTAATTGAGAAACCATATTGAATCCGAAGGTAAATCACTAAAAAAGGCTTACCGGGTGCGAATTTGGAAAAATGGACTTCAAGTTCGGACTCAGGATGTCGAAAAGCATAAAATAGGGCTTTTCAGAAAATTTAACTTTTTCAATCAAAGTCAAAGGTCAACGGTCAGACCGATCAAAGTCAACGGTCAACAGGTTGACTCGGTCAAAGTCAACGAGTTAACCTAGTGAGTTGACTTAGTGATTGGACTGAACCAGGTGGGTCGAGTCAGGAGGGTCAGGCAGGAGGGTAGAGTCAACCCGGTTCTGAAAAAATCCTTGGACCAAAACAAGCCCCACGCGTGCGTGGCGATGGCAATGGGCTCGGGTGGTCAACCGATCACTCCACTAGCATCTAAACATCATTTCATTCCCAAATCAATACCAATAATCAACTAAACCAAGCTAAACTATCACCAAAAACCGATCGGTGACTTACCCAACGACGGATCAGTGACAGTGCGTTAACTAGGAACGAAACCGGTCGGGTTTTGTTCACACGTTACCGTTAAAGCTTACGGAAACAACGATTAACGGCAACACAGACTAGGTCGGCCGAAATTCGACGAAAACAATGGCGAAATTTTGGGAATTTTGTCACATGAAAAATCATTGATTCACGACAATATAAGGCGTTTCACGACGCAACAATGCTCCGGCTTTGGTAAGGGCACTACGACAGTTCGAACGGGGGTGGCAATGCATCGAACGACGGTCAGACGACGACGAATTTAAACGATGAAGGCCGACAGGGGTTGTGTTTTGGGGCTAAGGATTTGAGGACTAAAATTGGGAACTTTTGGGGGTAACCATGTTTAAAATTGACTGACCATAAAAATGGGAAAATTCGGGTTCAAGTCCCTAAATTTCCCACAAGTTCCAAAACCGAGCTACAACTTGTAGAAATTTGCAATTTGGTCCCCGACTTTTTTCTTGTTACTACCTTAATTCGATACTTTAAAATTAATAAATTTTAGCCCCTAAATTGGGTGTGACATCTCAATTATTTCATAACCCTAAAAATCAAACATTTTAACCTATCTTTCATAATATAAACAACTCGCTCAAACAGACCATCAAACTGCATATAATAAGTTATATTGCAGTTTTAATTTCAAACACGGAGGCTCAAGAAAGTCTTTTAGAACCGTGACAAAAATCTTATCTCGATGACGAACAATTTTAGAAGTAAACAATCAAGTTAGTTATCAGAATACAACTAGTTCAAACCAGAATAAAATGAATTGACTTGTTGAGATGATCGATAAAATACATACTGAATCTTACTTTGACAGAGTCATAGGTAATCCATTAAAAGAGTTTATCGTTTTTCACTTCTATTCTCACATTGAAATCTGCATAGTTTCTAGAAAATACTCGAAATTGACTCTTTCCCTCTAAGATAGTTTGAATCAGAGTGATGCAGCTGCTATAACCTTTCGATTCTCATAATATATCCACTAACTTGAATGAGAAAGTCGTAAGAAAATATCAAAATTGATTTACAGAGAGTTTGAAGGAAATTAAATAATTTCAGAACGAAATAATATTTCACACCAGAATGTAAAACATTCATAAATCTTAGCAGTCCTAGATTACATGTATAATGTAGGCCAAAATTATCTTTTTCAGAGTGAATCACAATGTGTTGAGTGAGAATTCAAACAGAGCCGAACCTAGTGCTATTATTTCAATTAGCTTGGGAGTTTGTCTTAAATTGTATTGTGGCCGAGACAGATTGTAAAGAGGATGTTCGTTTGCTCCGCCAAGGTATAGATATGAAGGGAAATTCCCATTTGGTTCCTCTTTTGTTGGATATGTTATCTCGAAACTGACGGCTCCAATTTGTTCATGTTCAGCGTGATATGGACGCTTTAGCTAAACTTTCTAGGACTCTCCCATTTGGTATTAACATGTTTGCAAAGCCGCCTGCACCTATTCATTTTCTCTTGCATGATGATCTAGCCCCCATGGCTGGAAACTAAGCCGATCTTCCTTTGTACTAAAAAAAATTATTCTCTTTTATACTACTAAATGAAATACTCTATATCTTAAAATATTTAACAGATTCGAGCGTACAACATTATGGCATTATTAATTTTATTGACCGTCAATGAATTTTGCAACATTCAAGTGTTTTACACGCATACAAAAAAAGTCGATTAATATTATTTTAATTATTATGTTTTATTATGTTTTATTTTTAATCACTTTATTTGTCAAATATATAATAATACAAAACTTATTATGAAATAATTTAATATATGTTTACAATTATACAACTCTGTGGATCTCCTTAACCAAGAGAGTTACAAGCACTTGGGTCATTGAATGGTTTCTTTTCATGCTGAAAGTTGCTTAAATAGAGTCAATGTCACTGAATGTTTATGTACATGTTACGCATGCAAGAAACAGATGGAGAGCAAATGTAATCCGCCAAGGTGATCCGATCCCTTTGGACGGGGTAGCTTCTTGGCTACAACCGGGACAAGCTCCTCCTTGTCCTAGGAAAGAACACAATGAAACAAATATTTAATCCAAACAACACCACTACTAACTAGCCCTCCACACTTATATAATCAAAGTTTAAATTCGATTGCCAGGCATGCGCCTTCAAATCAAGGAAGAAATGTCCATAGACAGGAAACATGCATGTATCTAAATAAGCATATATTCATTCAGGGTATGTTCGCCTATCCTTCATTTCTTCAAAAATATAGAATAACAGTAAACACATAACTTAATTGATGAATTAAGCATTCCTTTTCACCCTCAAACTAGCATGCATTTATTCTATAGAACAAGTTGTCGTCTCAAAAATAAACTGCCCCAAACCGGTACCGTTTCTCCGCTCAACACATAAAAAAGGCCACCCTTACCAGCAACATCCTCATCGTGGAACAGTTTTACAGTTGCTAATAACTTTCACCGACGAATATAACAATGTTTTAAAAGACTTCAGGCTTGGAGGTCCTTGTCTGACTTCCATACAGGAGGAGATTTTGGTACAACACCATCACTCAACCTCCCATTTCCATTGTCCACGCTAATCAGAACATCGCTTTCACTTTCTTTAACCTGAATTTTTCATCAAAACATTGAACAGATAACCAAATATTACAAGATTTCAAGAAAAAAGAGAATCATTTATATAACAATTTCATAGGCCCTTAGGCAAGGTCATTAAAAACACACATCTGCATGCAAGGAACTACCTGTGGCAGTTGTGCTGATACTTCATTAGCTTTCTGTTGCTGGCTCTCAACAACAGAACAATATGAATAAAGGACCATTCCAACTACAGCAATCAAGATCCCCAAAATGTTGCGCCAGTTAAATGGATCATGAAGAAGAATATAACCGAAAGCCAAAACAAGGCATGTTTTTAGATGTCCTAGAACCTGATAGGTGACTGGGGATGTCTTTCCAATTACCATAAATGTACTAAAGTTGACAGAGACAGATATCAGGCATGAAAGTACAATGAAGAACTGCAAAAAAGATTGCATGTGTATACAATTAGGATCAAAGAAATATAAGGAAAGCACAGTACTACTCTCTGTCTCTCTCTTTTATTTGAATGTTGGGGCATTGAATTTGTAAGCAATGATTCTTTACCAGAACTTGAGGGGTATACTTGAAAGCAAAAACATTCAGGTTGGTCAAAAGCCCATCCAGGAATGGGCCAATGATAAACAAAGTTAATGCCTGGTAAGGGCAAGACTGGTAGAGAAGTTGGGTTGAAGATACTTTGAACTTCTTCTGAATGGTATTAGTCATCTAATAGGAATGAGTTAAGAAATTAGACAAATTGATTCAAGACGAACATATTCACGGAGACCACACATTTTTCAATTACTATTCTTAAATATGGAAATAATGACAGATAAAACATTGAAAAGAAATAGCAAATATCATTCCAGCTAAGGATACAACTTGGGCTATGCATGTAGTAACAATTGCCAGAAGAGAGAGGATGGAACCCAATAAATTGAGCTGAAGATCAGTCACAGTTGCAATTCCAACACCCAGAAGAAGAATGACCAATGAAAGTTGGATATTCTGACTGCAATAGCATATAAATGTATCAAAATACAGAATAACCAATAAATTTCTGCTTCAAAAATAACAGTGGGTATAACTTGTAAGGCTGCAACTAAAACCTAAAACCACCCTAGCAAATTACAGCACAATTAAAGATTTCTCCAAAAGAGAGAAGTTCAGAAATAGAAGAAATTGTGGGATGTAGCAGTTACAATCAAAGCTAAAAAACCTTGTTTGTCAACATGTAAGCACCAGAAACTGGCCCCCAGACCAATATATGCAATCTCTTAGCCCTCTAAAAGATAACTGTTCTATTTCTAAGGTTTATTATCTCCAAAAACCACAACTGAAGAGACCAAAATTATAAGAATGTGAAAGAAAACCAGAAGGTCTTTTATCCCTTCAGATGCTAAGAGTTGGAATCACGGTATTATCCTACTTTACAGAATTTAACATGAAACAGTCACAATCAAAGCTATCAATCCTTGTTTATCAATAAGTCAGAACCAGAAAATGGCCCTAAGCCAATAAATGCAATGTCTAACTTATTCCCAAAAAACAAAATTATAAGGAGCCAAAAGTATAAGAATGTGAAAGAACATCAGTCATACGAAGAAATAAGCATGCTCATATCCGACCTGAACTTCTTCCTGAAGAAAAGAGTCTCCAACAGAACAGTGCAGGGGATAATTGCCAGTTTTGTCATCTAAAATGTAAAACAAAAGGACCCATTAAGCAATTGGTGCTCCTAATATGCTTGTAAAGAAAAGAAGAGCTAAACTTTGAACTTGATACATATAGCACTAACAGATTCCATACCCCTAGATGTTGTCAGCAAAAAGTATCATTCTGTACAAATTATGTTGGAATCAAGCAAAACTTGGACATGACTTACATATGAATCAAAAGGATAACAACCTGAAAATAAAACTTTACCTGGTAGAAACCAACAGAGTTGAAACCCAAACTAAGATTCAAAAGACCAATAGATATCCCATTCAATATACCGAAACCCATGACAGCTCTTGCATCAAAAGGTTTATGCTCAAACAATTTCATCCATAAGGCCACATGAAGAGAACAAAATGTGACCAGGAGATGCCAGCTTGTCAAAGTTGTGGCTGTAAAACCCAGACCCAAAATTAGCATAAAGAATAGTAATAAAAGACTATAAATTATTCTCCTGATGCTTTTTCAAATTATTCACATGTAATTATGATATACTATCTGCTTACATTTGCCACGGTTTTTAATTGATGAATATGTGGTAGGCTTTATGAGATGTAAAGATCTTTCCAATCATCTTATTTCAAAACTAGCATGCCACATCAAGATAATTGGTATCATGAACTAATTCAAAGACAGAAGTTGAGAAAAGTTTCTCTAGTTATGAAAAATAAGGAAAGACGACACTCATCAAAATGATGCACCAATAACAGGAACTTGGGCGACATACAAAGATGAGACCACCTGGAGTTAAAATCTAAATATGACGATCACGGCAGTGCTAGATAAAACATTGTAAACTTTAGGTGTTGAAATAAACCATTGTTGTGGGGCATATATAAGAACATCATACAGTATATAATATGACCCCATTAAAAAAGAGTAGCAGGGGATGGATTGGAAGGCCAAGATTTTCTTTCTTAATCGACTGTGAGTTGTTTGATGGCTTAGTGAGAAACTTGAATGATGAATGCACTTGAGTGATGATTCCACAGAGTAATTCTTTAACCACTTTAATGTTCATACGCGTACTCTTACAGATTCAGATTCAGAATAGATTCTAATCAGTCACTTAGCATCGCCTAAGGGATTGATATTTCCAGAGCAGAATTACAGTGATGAGATGGCATGATTAATGATACAAGGGAAAAAAGAGGGGGGGGGGAACAAGTAAAAGAGAAGTGAATGAATGAACTGGAAACTGACCAAAGTTGAAAGCGAGAGTGGAGATAAGAGCCTTATTGCAAATGACAATGGAGACGGATGACACCACCGATAAAGTCAAAGCACCTATCGTCCCCAGCTGAAACTTGTGGTTATCACTCATACTTTTCGTTTTATAAGCTGCGTATTTGAAACTGTGGACCGGATCTACGTAAATCTCCGACGACTGGGTTGAATTGTCGACGAAATGAAAGTGGATGGAGCGAAGAAACCCTAGTCCAGAGCTAGATCTGCAGCTTTATAAGGAAAGTTGAGGGTAGAAGCCCCGGCTTGTCTTAGAGGCTGAGACAAAGCTGAGTGGGAGTGGGAGTGGGGAAGGGAGACGAGTAAGGGTCCGATGGAAGGGGAAATCTTAGGAATAGAGACAATTAGGTCTGAGTTAGCTTAGGATATAAATTCGTCGGTGTTATTCTTGTATTAATAACATATACATGAATAATAGGATTTCTTCAAATAAATATAAATGGAAATAACAAGTAATAGTAGCTGTACTACTAATAGGTAAATAAATAATTGAAAGTTTAATATAGAAATAAGTGGTGAAATTATGTTTCGAAAAATATTTTGATGTTTAACGAATTTTTTTTTGTTAAAAATAGGTGTTTAATATTTTTTTTGTTATATTTTGGTGTCTGTTGTTTATTTTTTAATAAAAAAATCAACCCCCAACGTCGTTCCTCTCCCTCCCTCCCTCCATAGTCACCAGTCATCTCTGACCATCATCTTCATCACCAAACGGTTGAATTTTAAACGGAATTGCATGGTGGTTCGAATGGTGGTGGCGATGTGGCTTATAGACTCTGGGATTGGTCGGAATCGACGAAATCGAATATGGTGGTTTAAAATCCGACGAAACTTTGAACGTTTCTTCGCGGTAAACGATGACAGCTTACGACGAAAGGTCAACAGGAGTTTGAACGAGGGTTGACATATTGATGATGGCCACAGTGACAGTTAAAGTCGGTCAGCTGACTGGCGATAGAAGAGGAAAAGGGAAAAGGGAAAAGGGAAGAGATTTTTATTTTTTATTTTTAAAAATAAAAAATAACCAGAATGTGACATGTGTCATTTAACAAAGATATTTAACGGCGATTAACGTTCGTCACCTAAAAATGTAATATTTGAAACATTAGGCACTTACTTTTAGCGAAAAAATCTTTGAAACCAAAATGTTTCTCGAGACATAGTTTAGACACTTAATTTTATATTTAGTTAATTGAAAATGAAAAACTATAGACGAGAGAAACAGATTTGAAGGCCCATGCCTACTAATCGGACTTGGAGGGATTATTTTCTAACTATATAGAAAGAAAGGCATAATACAAAAAATAGCCCCCAATTTTTATTAAAATGATCATTTTGGTCCTATTCTTTTTTTTTGAGCATTTTGACCCCAACATTTTTTTTAGGCAAAAATTGCCTCTATAGATAAAAACTATTAGTTAACACACTATTAATACTTCGACATAAGGGCCTTTTTAACCTACAATGAAACGTTGAGGGTTAAAATGCTATAAAAAATAATAAATGCCAAAGTAATTATTCTGTCAAATGTTATGGGGTTTTTTATCATAAAATGAAAAGTTAGGGGAAAAATTACTCAAAAAAAAAAAAGAATAGAAGACAAAATGACCATTTTGGTAAACATTAGGGACTAATTAGAAAATAAGTGCCCCAACTATACCGTTTTTTCCAAATAGGTGTCCAAATTTTTTTCAATTCATCAAGGTGCCTAACATTGCAAACGTTATCACTTTAGGTGTCTAAACTTTGATGAATAAATCAACTATCATTTATATTTCTAACGCATCTTGAAATGTCTTAATCGAACTTTAGAAACTCAAGATATGTCTACTTTAACGAAGACAATGTAGACACTAAATACAATTCTAATAAGATATTTTTAAGTTAATACGAATTTTTAATATCAAACTTTCTAAGAAAACACAACAAAGCACGCAATTATGCAAATACAAGAACGCTGTTGCACACGGCATTGAGTGAATAATGCCCAATAATGAGTACCACTGTTTTATTTCTTGCCAAAATTTCATGATGGAACCATTACATAACTAGCATATAGCTAGTAAAGCAAGGAACCGAGGTTCAATGCAAGTACACGCCTAACCTCACGTGTAAAGGGTACCGTTGATTAATACAAACAATAACACCATGTCGATGGTATTTTACTATTGGTATCTAGTTCAGATTCTTCAGTTTGATGCATCGTAACCGTACAATAGATCAGACACAACAGCTTGGCTCCAACACTGGAAGAGAAGAGAACATACATAACTTCACCTCCATCTTGCTAGGAAGGGCATGGAAGAATACCAATGGTGCTACTTTTGGAATACAAAATTTGTATGGTTACTTAAGCCTTGTCTTCACCCGGTTTCCTTACACATGACAATATTTCAAATTTCAGGCCTCAACGTCCACTGGCCGTTTCTAAGGCATCCATGGAACTGCTTTGCTGTGACCATAGCTGTGCATATCTCCCTGCCCTTGCCACGAGTGTGTCATGTGGTCCCTGTTCAATAACCTTGCCATTCTCCAGAACTATTATCTGGCAATAAAAGGAAAAGAAAATTACATGAGCACCAGATAAACCTAGAGAAGATACAACCGACTTATTTCAAGGGTCGATTAAAAGAGGATGTGGTTGGCTGAAAATGAGAATATTTGAGGAACCAAATCAGATCGAGCAATTGCAGTGTTCTGTACAACCCAATTATCTCATGTTGTGTCTGAGTAACACAAGGCTTCATAATTTCAGTGAAACCCAATTTGTGTTTGTTTCTCTGCTGATGAAAGCAACCTTATTATTTTGAAGTAAAAAGCAAAGCACCCAGAACTAGATGGATTTTCGGGCTGAATAGGTAGTAAAAGATAAAAAAAAATTCACAGATGCTGCCAAATTAATAATTTGGTGCTTACTATGTAAATTGCTGAAACTACACATGTGTGTAAATTTTTTAACTACTACCCATCAACATAGTTGACACAGAATCCTGTCTATTTGGGACAGATAGGAAAATACAAGGGGAAAAAACCTGTTTGAGAGGATAAAGGAAATTGATCATTTTTTTTGTTATGGTTGAAGTTAGTATTTTTTTTAAAAGGTTTATCTAAGTTCATCTTTTGTGTTCTTTAAAATAATTACGTGATTATCATAGGACTCTTGGTAAGAGTTCTTACCAAATAGGGCTGGGTGAGAATTTTATAAAAAATACTATACTAGAGGTTATTAGGGGTTTTCAATTATTATTAAGATAATTTTAATAGAATTGGTTTCTGGAAAATCCCAGAATATGGAAAGGAGAAGAGTAATACTACGAATACCTTTATGGGCAAGACATGGAAGGCGCAGGCCACAAGAAGTCAAAGGGTCGAAGATGGAAAGGAAAGGAAGACAAATAACCCTGTTTTTAGAAATATTCCTAATCAAAATAATTTATTTTAACAAGTATTTTATTACAATTAAAATTCCTTAATTTTGGGTTATATGTTATTCCTAACGAGTGTAGGTTAGGAATTCCCTACTACAAGTTTCATACAGTGTTAATAATAGGTTCTTTACGAGGTAGGGATCACAAGGGGAAAACTTCATCAATCGAAGCAGATTATGTGTCAATCACCCAGTGACATGATCCATGATAACAAATGAACAAGGTAGCTATTGTAAACAAACTATGATAAACTGAAAGAGAAAGTGAGAAGCAAGATTGAAAGCAATTGAAGATGTTTACTAAGAATAACATAAGAACTGTTAAACGTACAAAAATTCTGAAAAGTGAAGTACTCTCTTTGGTCAAGAATAGTGGACAGACCCACTATATATAACAACTAAGGCTAACTAACCAGCCCAACTATATAGAATTCAGTTCCAACAGGTTAACCAAAACAGTTACAACTAACCAACTATCACATAATACTAATATTCTCATGGCTTTCTTATGATCTGAATTGCCACTTCAACATTTTCCTGGCTTCTTCAGACTTGCTTGTTGATTTCTGCCCAAGACTTTACACCAAGACGAGAGCGAATATCACTAAATACTGCAGGGTGACAATGGCTTGGTATGTCAGCCACCTGTTCCGCAGAAGGAACAAAATTAACGCTGAGATGCTCAACCAGAAATCTTTCCCTCACAAAGTGAATATCAATTTCTACATGTTTTATACGAGCATGGTGTGTTAGATTTCTGATACCATGATAACAAATGAACAAAGTAGCTAATGTAAACAAACTATGATAAACTGAAAGAGAAAGTGAGAAGCATTGAAAGCAATTGAAGATGTGTACTAAGAATAAAAGAAGAACTGTTAAACGTACAGAAATTTTGAAAAGTGAAATACTCTCTTCGGTCAAGAATAGTGGACATGCCCACTATATATAACAACTAAGGCTAACTAACCAGCCCAATTGAATAGCCCAACTGTATAGAATTCAGTTACAACATATTAACCAAAACAGTTACAACTAACCAACTATCACATAATACTATAATATTCTCATGGATTTCTTATGATTTGAATTGCCACTTCAACATTTTCCTGGCTTCTTAAGACTTGTTTGTTGATTTCTTCCTAAGACTTTACACCAAGACGAGAACGAATATCACTAAATACTGTAGGTGACAATGGCTTGGTGAGTATGTCAGCCACCTATTATGCAGAATGAACAAAATTAACGCTGAGTTGCTCAGCCAGAACTCTCTCCCTCATAAAGTGAATATCAATTTCTACATGCTTTATACGAGCATGGTGTGTTGGATTTCTGATACCATGATAACAAATGAACAAGGTAGCTACTGTAAACAAACTATGATAAACTGAAAGAGAAAGTGAGAAGCAAGATTGAAAGCAATTGAAGATGTTTACTAAGAATAACAGAAGAGTTGTTAAACGTACATAAATTCTGAAAAGTGAAATACTCTCTTCGGTCAAGAATAGTGGACATGCCCACTATATATAAAACTGAGGCTAACTAACCAGCCCAACTGTATAGAATTCAGTTACAACAGATTAACCAAAACAGTTACAACTAACCAACTATCACATGTTGGAATGTGTCTGTATGAGTTGCATGCAGTCACTGGTCATGAAGCTAAGTGTAGCTGATCAGTGCAACAGTTTGTTGCTCATGTAGTTGAGGCAGTTAGGATGTTAGGCTGGTAAGTAAACTGTTAGTAGTTGTAACTAATGTCAGCAGTGTGTAACTGCTTGCATGCTTGAACCTATATAAAGCCTGTAAAGGAATAGTTGAAAAATAAGAAAGAAAGTATTATGTTTCTTGCATCTTGTTGTTAGTGTAGCTACCTCAAAATTTCAAATGGTATTATTCACTACTGTATCCTAGGGGTTGTTTCCATTGTTCGTGCTGCTATGGATCAGAGTACCTCCTCCACAACCACTTCAATAGAAGTTTCATCCCGAAACACCAAAGTGTTCACCAACAAAAGGGTGAACGTGATTCTTGACGAGTCGAACTTCTTTATTTGGAAACAAGTATTACTCACCGTGCGGAGTCATCGTCTTGAACGGATGCTGACAGGAACGATGTTACCTTCTCCAGAAATAGTGGCTGGTGAAGAAGGAACTACAGTCATTAATGAAGAGTATGAAGAATTTATGGCCCAAGATAGCGCTTTAGCTTATTGGTTGTTATCAACAGTTAGCCCCCACAATTTGTTGGTGCTAAAACATCAGCGTATGTGTGGAATAAAGTTTTTTAATTCTTTGCAAATCGATCTGCCACTGCTGTAATGAGTTTACATTACAAACTACAGTCCCTCAATAAAGGAGGAGACAACATGAGGGCTTATCTTACCAAGGTGAAAGAAGTCACTGATGCACTAACCTCCTGTGGCAGTCCAGTTTCAGTGTCTGAACACGTTGCTAGCATCCTTAAAGGTCTCACAAGGGAATATCAGCCCTTCATTGCAATCATATCTGCCATGCGTGACTCGTTGTCACTCGACAACATCTGCACCATGCTCATCGATACTGAAACACAACTTGAGGGCTTTGATTATTAGCTTGAGTCTTTAACTATTAGTGCTAATCTTGCACAAGGGAAGCTAGAAGGTGACTCTAACAAGAATCGTGAGAAGTAACAATATAGAGCTAGTAACTCGTCCTACTCACGAGGGAGGTCTTGTGGCTGAGGCAGAACTCGACCCAAAGTTCAGTGCCAACTATGTGGCAAAAATGGACACCTTGTCAGCCAATGCTGGCATAGGTTTAATGAAGATTTTGCTGGTATCACACTAGATGATAATATCTCTGGGTTGAAAGCTCTAAAGCATACTATGCTGCTAATGGAGTCAGTGGCAGTGCGTGTGGTTGCTGCAGTCATGGAAATGCATATCATGATGACAACAGAAGTGCAGGGCAAAACCAGGCACACTCTAGTTCTGCTGGTCAAGAACAGTGGGTTATTGAATCTGGTGCAAAACACCACGTTACATCTAATGCAACTTCGATTACTTCACACTCAAATTATAACAATCCTGGTAAGTTAATGGTTGAGAATGATGATTCGTTGACTGTTTGTAAAGTGCCAAGGTTGAATTACAAGCCTCATCGCGCATATTATCTTTAAGTGATATTCTACATGTTCCTTCCATTACTAAGAATCTGTTTTCTGTTTCCAAGCTTGCTAGGGATAACCATGTGTTTCTTGAATTCCATTCTAAAACCTGTTGTATTAGAGATGAAGACACAAAAGATGTGTTGCTGCGAGCCATAGAGTGTGATAGCATATACTCCTTCAAAGCTGGCAGCACTCAAAGAAGAAATGATAAAGCTAAAGCTCATACTATTATGAATCCTCCAAGACATCTGAAACTTGGCATAGAAAGCTGGGGCACCCTGGTTATGACACACTTGTTAAAGTTTGTAAACAAATGGATGTAAAAACTCTTCATGATATCAATAAAAATTGTGTAGCCTGTAACTTGGGTAAAAGTCACAAGCTGTATTTCCCTCGATCTAATAGTGTTTACAAAGAACTATTTAAACTTGTTTACTCGGATCTATGGGGACCTCCACATGTGTCCTCGAATGGTTTTCAATTCTATGTGTCGTTTGTTGATGTTGTCACACGGTTTACATGGTTGTACTTGCTAAAAAAAAGGCTGAAGTTGTGACAACATTCAGGTTGTTTCAAAAATTAGTTGCTACGCAATTCAATAGGGTAGTTAAAGCTCTTAAAATTGATTGGGGAGGATAGTTTCACCATTTAATAGATGAACTAAGCAAGGCTGGCGTGCTTCATCGACTTACATATCCTCATACATTAGAACAAAATGGTGTAGTCGAGCGAAAACATAGGCACCTTGTTAAGGTGGCCCTAATACTACTTGCTTAGGCATCCATGCCTATTAAATTTTGGTCATATGCTATTTAGATCACGGTGCACTTGGTTAATAGACTGTCATCAAGAGTTTTGCATAACAAGTCTCTATTTGAGGTTTTGTATGAAAAAACTCTAGATTACAGTGGCTTAAGAGTATTTGGCTGCAGATGCTTCCCTCATTTAAGGTCGTTCATACGTCACAAGCTAGAGTTCCGATCTCAAGTGTGCACATTTTTTGTTACAACATGCAACACAAAGGTTTCAGTGCTTAGCAAGTGATGGACGTGTCTATATTTCAAGGCACGTGGTATTTAATGAGGATGTGTTTCCTTTTACAGGTAATTCTAATAGGAGTTCTGTTGCAGGCTCGAATACGAGACGATCTCAATCTCTTGAATTAATCACTGACATTACCAAATATAGGGCTCAACATCTTAAACCCCATAGGCTACCTACAAATACAAGCATCATTTCATCAGATGGCTCACAAACATCAGCTGCTGCTCACGAAAATATTAAACCTATGGCTGACAATGAGCTGCCTATGGATGTCTATGACAATAGTGGAAGTGTTGAACGTAAGTTAAGTCTAGAACACACACTGGCAGTATGGAAGCAAATGATAATACTGTCAGTCAACCTAATGTTGAACACACGGTAAATCAACATGTTGATGATGTGGTCAACAATGATGATGCTGAAACTGAAGAACCTCGTGGCAACACTCATCCCATGCTAACTTGGAGCAAGTGTGGAGTGTTCAAACCCAAAGCCTATATAGGGTCTACTCTGAACTATGTCCCATGGACGGTACGTGAAGCATTTAAAGTCCCAGAGTGGAAGGCAGCCGTATATGAAGAGTATAGTGCACTGCAACGTAATGAGACTTGGGAATTAGCCAGGTTACCTGAAGGAAGAAATGTGGTTGGCTGTAAGTGGTTGTTCAGGCTCAAGAAGAACCTTGATGGCTCAATTCATCGATACAAAGCACGTTTAGTTGCTAAAGGGTTCTCACAAATCCCTGGCTACGATTTCAGAGACACCTTCAGCCCTGTGGTTAAGTTCACCACCTTGAATGTCATCATCTTATTAGTAATAACCAACGGTTGGGCCCTTCGACAAGTAGATGTCAACAATGCCTTCTTGAATGATGAACTTCAAGAAGTGTCTTCATGCAACAACCACCAGGCTTTAAACAGACTGCTCCTGATGGAAGTAAGATGGTCTTTTGGTTGAAAAAGATGCTTTATGGACTAAGACAAGAACCTAAAAGCTGGCACACCAAGCTTCGAGACAATTTGTTAAGTATCAGGTTCCGAGAGTCACGAGCTGATGTCTCGTTGTTCATCAAGAAGAGGGGTGTAAGCTATGTTTATCTGCTAGTGTATGTTGATGACATAATCATCACAGGTCATTCGAGCAATGAGATAGATGAAGTTGTTAGATTGTAAAGTGATAGATTCTCACTCAAGGATCTCAGACAGCTTTTATACTTTCTTGGCATTGAAGTAAGAAGAACAGGTGAATGTCTAGCCCTGTCACAAAAGAAATTCATCATTGAACTTCTTGAAAAAGCATACATGTTAAAAGCTACACCTACACCAACTCCCATGGTTGCAGCTACCAAGTTGCGTCGTGATGAGGGAGAACTTATTCCTGATGTATACAACTATCGTAACATCGTTGAAAGACTGCTTTATGTATGTTATACCGGATCGGATATCGCATTTTGTGTTAATAAAGTGGCTCAATATATGCATACACCATGACAGTCGCATATGGTCACAATAAAACAGATTTTGTGTTACTTGGTAGGCACGATGAACTTTGGCCTGGTTTTCACTGATGCTGGAGTTGGGGTGAAAGTTACTGCCTTTGCCGATGCAGATTGGGGTGACAATCTCAAGGATAGGAGATCGGTATCTGGGTATAGTGTCTTTGTTGGCAACAATTTGGTGGTTTGGAACTCAAAGAAACAGAAGTCTGTATCACGCTCTACAATGGATGTGGAATACAAGAGCGTCATTGACACTGCAATAGATGTGGTTTGGGTTGGTTCAGTGCTTACAGAACTTGGTGTGTGCCAAAAGGAAGAACCAGTCATATGGTATGACAACACTAGTATTGTGCCTGTGACTGCAAACCTTGTTTATCATACACACACCAAGCATGTTGACCTTGACATACACTTCGTGCGAGAGAAGGTTGCAGCAAAACAAATGTGAGTTAACTATGTGCCTGCTGCTCATCAGATTGTTGATGGCCTGACCAAGCCACTAGCTCGACATGCCTTTGAAGAGTTTCGGGAAAAATTGTGTGTGAAGGTGTGTTGAAGAAGCAGGAGAGGAGAGAAAGTAGGGAGAATGTTGGAATGTGTCTGCATGAGCTGCATGCAGTCACTGCTCATAAAGCTGAGTGCAGCTGATCGGTTCAGCAGCTTGTTGCTCATGTAGTTGAGCAGTTAGGATGTTAGGTTGTTAAGTAAACTGTTAGTAGTTGTAAATAATGTTAGCAGTGTGTAACTGCTTGCATGCTTGAACCTATATAAAGGTTGTAAAAGAAGAGTTGAAAATAAGAAAGAAAGTATTATGTTTCTTGCATCTTGTTGTTAGTGTAGCTACCTCAAACGTTCAATGTCATATAATACTCTAATAATCCATCACTCGTACACTTAACATGTAGATACCAATTTCAAAGCAACACATGCAAGGCACATAGTTTTCAGACATCCATACCTCATCACACTGCATGGCTGTTGTAAGCCTGTGAGCTATGAAGATTGAAGTTCTATTATTTACCAGTGACTTCAATGCATTTAGTATCTCTGTTTTAGTCGTACTGTCAAGGGCACTAGTAGCTTCATCACACAACCTGTGGATAGAAATGAATAGAAAATCATAATTTGTATATGAATAAAAGAAATAGGCTTTCGTTTCTTTTTCCCTATCTTTCTGGTTTGGAGGAATTTGTCTCACGCGTGACAAATAGGTTCTCAAAGAAAGGGTTGCAAAAGATTATATATTTTCAACTCAGCAGGGAAAGACACCGCTTAATTCCCTTGGTCAACCCAAATCTATCCGCATATATAAGAAAAAATAAGGATATCAACAATATAAACCATAAATCTATCAAATAGAAGTACGCAACAATAAAGACTAGTTAAGATATGTACACATAATATGTTACATCAAGAATGAATGCTTACAAAATGGTGGAGCTTTTAGGAATTCACGAGCAAGAGCTACACGTTGTTTCTCACCACCACTGAACTGGAAACAAAAGTAACCTAATTAGCTAGAATTTCTGGAAAATACCAAAAGACAATTTATTGAAATGACCTTTTTCCCATTAGAGTTCTTTCGACTGGAATTTATCACCAGTTTAGATTTATTGAGTAGCGCATTTGATAGGTAAAAAAAATCATAGCATTACGCCGAATAAACCTTAATTCAGTCATAATAACATAATTATCTTTCAAACAATCATGAATGAGGACTTTACCTTAAACCCTCGTTCCCCAACAACAGTTGAATATTTTTCAGGGAAATTCATGATAGTCTCATGAATAGCAGCTCGTTTAAAAGCATCAAAAACCTATATGGAAACAATTACTTAATAAAAATTCTTAATCTAATGATCCTTAAGGCTGTTTCAGATGGGTTATTTTCAGGTATGGTTATTAGCAGGCATGAGGGGAATTTCAATTTATCTCACCTTCAATTTGCTGATGACCTTATAATATTTTGTGGTGCATCGAAACAATAGATTATGAATGTTAAGAGGGTGCTTAGAGTGTTCAAAATTATGTCCGGTCTTTAGTTGAATTTAAAGAAGTGTAAACTATTTGGGGTCGATTCGAATGAAGAGAAGTAAGAGAATGGTCAAAGGCTATTGGATGTTCAGTTGGTATCTTTCCTTCAGAGTACTTAGGACTTCCTCTTGGAGTACAAAGAAATTCTTATATTCTGTGGGATCCAGTGGTTCACAGTTTCAACAAGAAGTTGGCGGGTTGGAAGACATCCTCGCTTTCTATGGTAGGGAGGTTGGTACTAATTAAATCAGTCTTATACTCGCTTCTTACATATTTTTTTTCATTGTTCAAGGTTTCAGCTTCGGTCTACAAGTCCCTAAACTCAATCATGTCCAATTTTTTATGAGGCGAGGAAATGGTAAAAAAAGATTCATTAGGTGGGCTGGTCCACTGTGTGCAAACCAAAGTTCGAAAGGGGTTTGGGGGTTCCGAATATCAACATGGTAAATAGAGCCCTTTTAGAGAAATGGTCTTGGAGGTTTGCAAATGAAAAGAATGCGGTTTGGAGGAAGTTTATTTGTACTAAATACAATATAAACTCTTCATTATTTCTGTTTGATAGTAAGGTTTCTCTAAAATTTTCTTGGATATAGAGATCTTTGGTAAACAACCATTTCAAAGAAGACTCTATTGGCTGTAAAATCAGAAGCTACTATAGTTTTCACGTTGGTGATGGGAGTTTCATTCAGTTTTGGCAAGATGTTTGGGCTTTGGATCAACCATTATTGGTCATTTTTCCAAGATTATTCTCCATTTCATTAAACAAGACTGGAAAATTATCCGAGTTCGGTGAATATATCTATAGGGGTTGGTTTTGGGATGTTCAATTGAGAAGGTAATTGAATGATTGGGAATATGAGCAGTGGTCTAATTTGATGGTAGTCATTTCAAACTTTTTTCTTTCAGTTGATTCCTATGATGGGCTGGTTTGGAAGGGCATTGGAGATGGGGCATTTTCTGTCAAATCTTGTGTTAGTCATTGTTATTCAGGGACTTCGACTTCGGAGGAGGTTTATTTCTGGAAGAATGTAATTTGGAGGGGACTGCTGCCTCCAAGAGTGGAGACATTTGTGTGGCAAGTGATTCTACAGAAGCTGATAGTGAAGACAATTCTGGTTAAAAGAGGTGTGAAGGGTATCGATGACTTGTTATGTCCTTTTTGCAAGCAGTTTGATGAGTCCCCCTCACATTTATTTTTTACTTGTTCAGTGGCTTGGTCTATATGGAATAAATTCTTGAGGTTCTGAAGATTCAATCTGTTTTTCATGTTGATGCAAAAAGATTTCTCCTAGCATGGGCTGATTTGAGGACTAACTCACTCATATGGTCATTCATTCCAAGAGTCATCCTATAGAACATTTGGAAACTAAGGAATTCTATTGTGTTTGAAGGAGGAAAGCTAGATCAAGCTGAACTTTTCTTTTTACCTAGGTTCAGGCTTGCTTCATGGTATTTAGCAAAGTATAAACAGGTTTTGATCTCCAAGGATTCTCTTATCTCTGATCCTTCCTTAGGGGATTCTTGTTTTCCTTTCTCTAACCCGATTATAACTATTATTTCTTGGTCCCCTCCTCCAAAGGGCTTTATCAAATTAAATGTCGATGCAACCACTACTACTGATTGGAAGAGAAGTGGTTTAGGTGGTGTTTTAAAAGATGACTCAGGGTTGATCTTAGGATCTTTTAAGGAGTCTGCTGGTCAGGGCCTCCTACTTTGATGGAATTGAAAGCTATCCTTAAGGGCCTATCTTTCTTTAACTCTATTCGTCATAAGTTCAAGGATCGCTTAATCATTGAGAGTGACTGCAGGGTGGCAGTTGACTGGGTTAATGATATTGTTTCATGTCCCGATGTTTATGCTTACATTGTTAAAGATATTATTGAAAAGCTTAGAGTTTGTGAAGGTGTTATCAGATGGGTTAATAGGACAACTAATCTAGAGGCAGATGCCCTAGCTAAAGATGGAATTGGGTGTTGTATTCTTATTTTCTAATCTTATTATGAATGAAATCCTAAGGCACTCTTTTCCTCCTTCCACTGATTAAGCAACTGTTTTTGAGTTTCATTAATCATAAAGGGGTTTTTAATGAGGCCGTCTATTCTTATAAAAAAATTACTTAAAAAAATTAAAAATAACTTATATGGAAACAAGTGTTAGACTGTAAAATTTAAATTAAACACACACACAACAATGCTGTGATATATGATATTAACCTCTTCTTCTGTCGCCGAAAGACTACCATAATGTATATTGTGAAATATTGTATCATTGAACAGTACCTGCCCATAGAGCACAATTGGTATTCCTCATTGGTTTATGCATAAATAAGCAAGTAAAAGAACACAAAATTGTCTGTTGAACTAACAGTATCTTGTTGCTCAACGCCAATAGACCGTCGAAGACTGTCCAATGTTGCATCTCGTATGTCTTGACCAGCAATCTTGATCTGTACAGAGAACCGGTCAGTGAGTCGAAAAAGAGAAGCTAAATTTCTGGTCTTAAATGAAATGGCATGCAAGCTGTCACCGGCATGCAAGCTGTCACCGGCATGCAAAAGGAATAGCTTTCCTAACAGTAACAAGTCAGAGTTTATGCATGAACAAAAATTGTATACTCATTATTAAGACAGTTAAGATAAGGCCGTCATCTTGATGAATTAATGACTCCCAAAACCAGAAACATGCATTGGTAAATAGTAAAACTGAAAAAAGTACTTGTTATTACACTTCCTGAATGAGCATCAAAGAACCTGAAGAGCAATCGAAGAATGGTTGACTTGCCTGAAAGTAAATTTAAAAATTTATTAAATCAATGGTTAAATTATAATACAATATAAGAGCTTCAATAATAATAATAAAAAACAGTTAGATAGTATTTAGACATGGTTGCTGAAATAACTGACTGATAATCAAATTTAAAGGATTTCAGAAAAAGAAAAAACTTTTGATTGAAATTATAAATCACCATGACACCATCTCAGAGAGAGATTTCCAATTAAACATCTGAAGCTTCATATACCCGAAGCAAAAATAGTTTTCTCCAAGTCATGCATGTAATGATCAAGTCTTGGGAGTCTGAGCATTTAATAGATGAGACAATCATATAACACTGGAACAGACATGGATTTAAAGGAAAAGAAAATTGTAAACAATTTTACATATTGTTAAATTTTAGAAGGTTCTCTGACTTAGAATCAATCGACAATAGGTTAAGTGCCCAGGTTACCCAATCTAATATATGTGAGATTTCTTTCCTCCACGCTAACACTCATCCACAATGGACCTATCAGGTGGTATGAATTAAAGAAAAAAGAGCAATACCAGCTCTGATAGCATGTTAAAGGTTGAGAAGTGAAGAAAAAGTTAAGTCTACCAATAAGGTAGTCTCTTACGTGTTTATATTGAAACATTAAGTACAAAGGACTTAATATACCCTTAACCTACATACTTGACACACCAAATGCAAATATCATGTATGAGTTTCCAATTGAAACCTTACCACTTCCACTAGTTCCTACAACAGCCACACTTTTCCCAGCTGGTACAGTAAAAGATATCCCATCAAGAATCTTTCTTTCTACCAGGTAACTATTATAATAAAAAAAAAGATGGTCAAACAAATTCCGTAGACACTAATTCATGCAGAATGTTAAACCAAACTGCTAAATGATGAAAAAATAAAATAAAAACTGTACAGAGAAACTAAGCACAGATAGGTCAGTCAAATCTCAATAACTTTTCTGAACAATTGAAGTTTGTAAGCTATGTACCATCTCTAGCCTTGGAATTATCTTCTAAATATTAGTATTTGAGTTTATCTCTAACTCCAATCTAATTTGTAGATAAGGATAAAGTTCACTTAGATAGGACTTTTAACTCAACTAGGACTCTAGCACTTCTCCTGTATTAAACTTACTGTACAATTTTTATTGTGCAATGATAAGGTGAATAAAAAGTTTTCTTTTCACCAGCAAACACATATTCTACAAATTTCATGATTTTTGTTTAGATTACAATCATAATGTATAAATATAATATTCATTAATTTAACAAGCAATGATGAACTCCAATGATTTGGTTCATTTAATCCAAATGAATTAAGGATAATGATACAATATTCCTTGCCGAAAAGTTAATAAATCTAATGGGCACATACCTAAATAAAGAAAGTTGTGTGTATATTAGCTAGGAATTAATGTGATAAATCAATGATTTTAATTCCTAAAAATTAGGGATTTGGTCTTGGATAAATATTCATAGAATCTGTTAGTTTCCTAAGTTAAATTATCTGTATATAAATATTTGTGTAACTTCTTCCAAGTAGAATATAATTGAAGTAAGCTCGATTTCTTACATGGCATCAGACTTTTTAAGCTCAATTTTGGAATTTTTTTCTTTGACAACTCCTCAATCCCCGATCAAACACTATTACCCTTCAAGACCTTAGAACCGCTTCAGAAAAAATATGGGTGAACATGTCGCAACCAACAACATTGGTGCTACCTCAGAAGTCTCTGTGATCGAGAGCAACAACTCGACTTCAATAAGTGAACTGCAGAATATCCAGGTAGCGTACATGTTAAATGGGAAGAACTATATGAATTGGTCTTAATTGGTTCGCATGTTCTTGAAGAGAAGAGGCAAGTTGAGTCACTTACTCAGCACTGGGCCTAAAGAAGTGGATCCTAAATTCGATGCTCAGGATGAACAAGACTTTATGGTAATGTCTTGGTTATGGAATTCTATGATGCCAGAAATCAACGATACTTGCATGTTTCTTAACACAACCAAAAAGATACAGAATGTTGTGAGGCAAACTTATTCAAAGGTTCGAGATGTTGTACAAATTTATGAAATCAAGACTAATATTTTGTCTACCAAGCAGGGAAGTCAATCAATCACAGAGTATTCCAATCTTCTTCAAAGCCTATGGAAAGAGATGTTCATTAACAATGCATCCAGATGAAGTGCAGTGAATATGCAACACTCCTTAAGAGGTTTCTTGAGAAAGATCAAATTTAAGATTTTCTTGCAGGACTGAATGTTGAATTTGATGCAGTGAGGGTACAAATACTTGGAAAAGGGGATTTGCCATCACTAAATGAAGTTATTGCAATTGTCTGTGCTGAGGAAGGAAGAACAGAGTTATGATTGAAAACAATTAGGTGGATGGTTTAGCCTTGGTCACAAGGTTGGAAATGATAGAAAATCTGTCGGGAACAACCAACCAAAGGAGATAATATGAGGGAAGAATTTGCAAAGCCAATCAATAAAGACTCCTTATGACGTACATACTGCAAAAAAACCTCGTCCCACGAAAGAAAAATGTTGGAAATTCCGAAAAGCCACAGACAACAAACAAAAATGTTTTTGGGGGCCAATAGAAAGGACAAGGGCAGACATACAGCAAGACAACCAACTAGGGAAGGTAATTCCCAAGAATCACCTATTGAGTTCAATAGAGAAGAGATTGCGAAATTGAAGAATTTGTTGGATTCATTGGAGAAATCATCTTCAACAGGTACTTGTACTCTAGAGTTCTCAAGATATCCACTTCTCAAGATTCTAAGGCCTCGAATACATCCAACAATAGTTTTTGGGTTATTGACTCGGGAGGTACAAATCACATGACCCACTCCTCACACAAATTTATTTCCTATACACCTTGTCCTAGCTATAGAAAGATAACAGTAGCAGATGGTTTGGTAATCACAACGGCTGGTCAGGGAGATGTTATTATAAGTGAAACTCTACACTTATAAACATTTTACACTTGCCAAAATTGTTTACCAATCTCTTGTCAGTCCAATAAGTCAGTAAAGATTCTAACTGTAGTGTGGTTTTTTTATCCATCTCGATGTGTTTTTTCAGAAACAAGTTACAAGGAGGATGATTGGACATGCTAAGGAAATGAATAACCTATACTATCTTGAAGAATCTAGGGTCAAGTTAGTGCTTTGAATTCCTTACCATTATCCTTTCTTTCAGATTTTGTTAAATCCAATAAATAACAGATTTGGATTCAACATCTTTGTCTTGGTCACCCAACATTTAGAGTCCTTAAAGTTATGTTTCCTTTATTGTTCAGAAAAATTTCATTGTGATGTTTGTGAGCTTGCAAAACACAAACGAACCTCTTTTTCAATAAGTAATAAAAAAACTTTTACCCCATTCAATCTTATTCATAGTGACGTTTGGGGACCATCCATTATTTCAATCATTTTTGGAGCTTAATTATTTGTCTCCTTTATTGATGATTGTACTCGTTGTTCTGGATATTTTTTTTGAAACAAAAATATAATGTAAGCTTTGTTTTTCCAACCTTTAACAACATGATCAAAACATAATTTGGTGTCGAAATTAAAACATTTCAACATGACAATGCTAAAGACTAGTTCAATCAGTTTCTCTCACCATATTTCCAAGAAAGAGGCACTATACATGAATTATCTTATGTGAACACATCCCAACAAAACGGAGTAGCAATGCGAAAGAATGGTCACATTTTAGTTATTACAAGAGCCTTTTTGTTACAAAAAATGTCCCTAAACAGTATTGGGGGAAGTTATTTTAACGGCTACTCATATGATAAATAGACTGCCTACAAAGGTTATTGACTTCCCCTATGCAAGTTCTATTGAAATTCTTTCCTAATTTTAATGCTTCAAATGGTTTTGTCCCAAAAATATTCAGTTGTGTTGCCTTTGTCCATATAAATTCTCAAAATAGGGGAAAACTCGATCCACGGGCTATCAAATGTGTCTTTCTTGGCTATTATTCTACTCAAAAGGGGTACAAATGCTGCCATTTTCCCACGAAAAAATTATATGTCTCGGCTGATGTCACCTATGCAGAAGAAGTTAACTACTTCACTCATCTTTATATTCAGGGGGAGATTACATTCATAGAAGATAAGGACATGGATCTTTTTCTCCTTGACATTTCATCCTTTGCTTCGGCTCTTGTCCCTATTATCCAGCCAAACACTCAATCTTTTCCTTTCAACCAGCCTGAGCCAATCCAGTCTAAACCTATACAACTCGAGATTGAGACGAGCCTCACACACCCATATCACAAGAAAGGATTTAGGACACTACTGTGCGTTACTAGTTTATTCAAGGAAGAAGGCACCAGTGTAGGTTCAATCATCCCCTATTTTTGAACGTAACAAGGTAATTACTGAATATATTTCTAATGAGAAGGTAATGCCACTGAAAATTCTAATCAAAGTGACTATGATTTCCCCACTGCATTAGAAAAATAACCAGAGCATGCACTAAATACCCTTTGTACTTATTCATGTCATATAAAAAATTATCCCATAACCACAAAACCTTTCTCACTAGCCTAAATACAATCTCCACTCCAAAATTGTTTCTGATGCCTTAGATGATGAGAATTGATAAAATGCCATGAAAATTGAAATGGAATCCCTTGAAAAAAAAAGACATGTGACTTGGTGAAATTACCAAAAGGAAAGAAAACGGTAGGTTATCGATGTGTATTCACAGTGAAATATAAGTCAGATGGCTCATTAGAGAGGTACAAAGAAAGGTTAGTGGGTAAAGCTACACTCAAACGTACGAAATAAACTACATTGAGACATTCTCTCCTGCGAAGATGAACACTGTGAGAGTGTTTTTGTCATTAGCTGCCAATCTAGGCTGAAAATTACAACAATTTGACATCAAGAATGCCTTTTTACATGGCGATCTCGAGGAAGATGCGTATATGGACATCCCACTAGGATTTAGTTCAAACACATGACAAATGGTATACAGGCTAAATAAGGTATTATATGGGCTCAAACAATATCCAGGAGCTTGGTTTGAAAGATTTGTCAAAGTAATGCTCAAGATAGATAAATAGAGTTAAGGTGATCACACCTTGTTTGTCAAATAATCACCTTCAGGGGGAGTGATTGAATTATTAGTCTATGTTGACGATATTATAGTGACAGATGATGATTAAGAAGGAACAAAGAGCTTAAAGAAATGCCTGGTGAAAGAGCTTGAAGTCAAATAGCTTGGTAAGTTAAGATATTTTGTCGATATTGAGGTAGCACATTCTCGGGAAGGGATCTTCATTTCTCAGCAAAAATACATAATAAATTTACTGATGGAAACGAGAAAGTTAGGGTGCAAACCAACATAACACCTATAGAATTCAACCACAGACTTAGAGATGCACTGAATGATGCAACAGTTTACAAAAGTTCCTATCAAAGACTTGTTGAAAAACTTATCTACTTATCTCATACTAGACCAGACATTGCCTATGCAGTCGGTGTTGTAAGCTAGTACATGCATAACCCCAAAGAGTCACATCTTAGGGTTCTATATCAGATTCTACAATACATGAAGGGCACGCCAAGCAATGGAATTTTATTTAAGAGTTGAGAGAAATTGATGCAGGGGGATCCAAGACAGATGATGTTGAGATGTCAGATTGCACCTTGATGGTGCTGAGATACCATGAGTTGGCAGATCAGCGCAAAGGCGAGAGTTGATTGTGATATGTTCCTCATTGGGGCCGTTTTGAGTGTGTTTCAGTCTTTTGGCCATAACTTTGGCTACGGGTGTCAGAGTTA